TGTCTTCCACTGAGGCTTAGGAAAGGCTCCCACTCTCATGGGCTGGCGAGGACCCACCACGGCCACTCGTGATCACGGCCGAGCAGCTAAAGATCTTGTCCATAGGTCCCGTTCCCCTCTGACCCTCAGACTCTCCCAGTCCCCTTTCCTTGCCACGGCCTCTGCCCCGGTGTGGACCTTGTCAGATCCAAAGACATATTGAGCCTCTGTGCAACGCGCGGTGTGTGTACTTTGATGGCGGGGTTGTGGCAGGGGCCAGTGAGTGTGCCTGGGAGTGGGGGGTGGAATGTGTTCAGGCACACTGGCCATCCTCCATCCCTCTCACCATCCATCTCCATCCAGGCTAAGCTAGAGTCCTGGACCAGGAGGCAGGATGCCTGGGTCAAATTCACATCAGCCACCACGTACTTGCTGACCTCAGGCCAATCCCTTTCCCTCCCCGAGTCTGTTTCCTTATCTGCAAAATGAGTGGATTGGGCAAAAAAATCCTGTCTTCCCTTCTCACATTGACATCCTAGAAAGTACCTTCAATTCGTTCCCTGGACACTTTTTCTCTCTTTAAAAAAGAAAGAAAAAGAGACATTTCTAGTGGGGCCTGTCTTCTGCCCACAGCCCGCAGCCTGGATTCTCCTTGTTGGACTCTGAGGTTAAATCTGCCCAGGAGTGAGTCATGTCTTCATACCCTTCCAGGTGTTTCCCAGGAAGGCTGCCCAGCCCTGCTCCATTCTCCCCCGCTCTTCTCCTCTCTCACCACCTGGACGTTTCTGGGTGCTCTTCATCCATTACAACCAAACCCAAACTTCCCCTTCTGACCTCCTCAAGGCACCAGATGCAATCGCAAGCCGGGAAGCCCGTCGAAATTTCCATCTCGTAAACATCCCTGATAAGCAAGTGGGTTCTGCTGCAGTATCTCTGCTTCTCTCCCTGGCCTACTTCCAGTCTGTGACTTGCTCTGAGATTGTCCGGTGACTGGTGTGAGCGGGAATGGAGCCCGGCCTCTGCCCAGACCACTTGATCACAGTTCAGCACATGCACGATGCAGTAGCTGTGCACACAGCACAGGCAGTGGGGGACTTGCTGGGTGTGATCTTGTCCCTCCTTCACTTGTGACCTCGGACCAGCTGTTGCCCTCACTGGACCTCAGTTTCTACATTTATATGGAGGGGTTGGACCAGACACTCTTTTTTTGAGTTGGAGTCTCACTCTGTCGCCCAGGCTGGAGTGCAGTGGCATGCTCACGGCTGCCCCAGCGTCAACCTGCTGGGCTCAAGCAATCCTTCTGCCTCAGCCTTCCAAGTAACTGGGACTACAGGCAGGCATTACCATGCCCAGCTAATTTTTTTTTTTTTTATTGTAGAGATGAGGTCTCACCTAGTTGCCCAGGCTGGTTTCGAACCCATGGGCTCAGGCAATCCTCTCACCTTGGCCTCCCAAAGTGCTGTGCTGGGATTATAGGCATGAGCCGCCATTCTGGCCTGAAGAGCACTCTTAATCTCTGATATAATGAGTCTGAAACTAAGACCATGTGCCTTGTCGTGTCTTCTCCACTGCCTTTCCTCCGCCAGGCTGTGAGCCCAAATGCCTTGAGGGTCAGCTTTTAGGGTGTTTGCCCAACTTTGTTCAACTGTTACAGAAAGAACCCAGTGGTTAAGAGCTTTGGAGGAAGACCTTGTACGGACTGACTGAGCGCAGGGCCCTCGGTCCCTGATCTGCCCTTCGGGCTCCTGGTGCCACCCATCCTCCAGTCCCCGGGAGTGAGGGAAGAGTGTGTAAAGTGCCCACTAGTGCCTGCCTGGTTCAGAGGCAGCTGCCTCACTACCTGCTCTGAACCAGGTGCAGTTGTAGGAGCTGAGGGAGTGGAGCCCTCGGTGTTTTCTAGCGTTGGTTTCAAAGCAGTCAGTGCAGGTCACATAGGCATTCGAAACCAAAAAGGAGCATGTCTTAAAAATAGACATGTAATCCCAGCCCTTTGGGAGGCCTAGGCAAGTGGACTGCTTGAGCCCGTGGGTTCAAGACCCACCCGGACAACTTGGCAAGACCTCATCTCTACAATAAGTCAACAACTAGCCGGGTGTGGTAGCGCGTGCCTGTAGTCCCGGCTACTCGGAAGGCTGAGGCAGAAGGATCGCCAGAGCCCAGCAAGTCGAGGCTGCGGTGGTCGGGAGCGGCCACTGTACTGCAGTCTGGGCGACAGAGTGAGACTCCAACTCAAAAAAAAAATAGACACTGGGGGAAATGGACTGTGGTGGGAGGGAATGAGGGATGGAATCAGAGGGAACAGGTGAGGAGAAGCCTGGAGACAATAGGGGAGCACAGGAGGCCCAGAAGCCAGGCCTGAGGAGAGCGGGAACGGAGTGCTTGCTATGCACAAAACGCTGTTCTGGTGCCTTCACATGAGTTTATAGCTTTATTGTCAGTGGAGGGGGTTGCGTTCTGGGATTGATCAGTAGCAGGAAGGAGATCTTAAAGGTTTGTGAGGTAAGATAGATTAGAGATGGGGGTTTAAAAGCTGGGCATGGTGGCTCACGCCTGCAATCCTAGCACTTTGGGAGACTGAGGAGGGATGATCAACTGAGGAATTTGAGACCAGTCTGGGCAACATAGCAAGACCCTCTCTCTACAAAAAACAGAGGTGAGCTAGTCAGGCTGATATGTTCCTGTAGTCCCAGCTACTCGGGAGGCTGAGGTCAGAGAATTGCTTGAGCCCAGAAGTTGGAGGCTCCAGTGAGCTACGATTGTGCCACTTGCACTCCAGCCTGGGTGACAGTGAGACCCAGCTAGGAGACCCTTGCAGCAATCCCACTGACTAAGACCCAGGTACCTACAGAACAAACCACATGTTTTCTTGGAGTTGTAGCAGAGGAGAGAGTAGCCATTATTCTGAACCAGAACACTCCGTCATGCATTCATTCATTCATTCATCCATTCGTTCACTTAGGTAACTTATATTTCATGAATGGCTCCTACGTGCCGTGCCACGTGCTGGGTGCTAAAGGTACAAACTGACGTGGCTCTGGTCCTTAAGGAGCTTCCAGTGAGTGGCCCTCGCACTCAGGTCTCTTCCAGACCTCCCTGGAGATCGCTTCTGTGGCCCAAGTTCAAAACTGGGAGAAGTGGTGGGAGCTCATTCAAAGCTAAAAGGAACGAGAAAGCAGCGGCCCAAACCTCTGTCATCTCCGTGGGAGAAAAGGAGGATGGCTGCGATGTTCACAGGGCAGGAAGGCCTCAGAAGTTCTCACCTCCCACCCTCAGTTGCGGCTGAAACATTGCCACTTCCGTGGGCGGCGCCTGGCCCGAGGCACAGTAAGTGGGCTGCAGACAACTGGAGCCCCGGCCCTGGAGGACCCTCCTGTGTGTTCTGCTATGGCAGTCACCCACAGAAGTGGGCTGCCAGACTCCAGCACCTCACAGTCCCCTCCTGCCTTGACCCCTGCATCTCCCTTCAAGGCAAACCTTGTACAATAGCTGAGATTGAGCCGACTTTGGTCTGGGCCTCAGGGAAACACCCGGAGGGAGTTGCCCTTTAGCCTCAGCAGAAAGCAGCTATTTGGAAATGGCTATGCCCACACTTCCTGCCAGTGGAGAGCATGTGGGAACTGTTGGCTCTTTAAACCCTCCGTATTTCTTGAGCCCCCACACAGCTGAGGACACCAGGTCGCCGCCATAGTAATCCGACGTAAGAAGTTTTGCCTCAGCCAGGCTCGGTGGCTCAGCCTGTAATCCCACACCTTTGGGAGGCTGAGGTGAGTGGATTGCCTGAGCCCGCAGGTTCGAGACCCACCTGGGCAGCGAGACCTCATCGCTACAATTAAAAAAAAAAAATCAGCTGGGCGTGGTAGCGCGCGCCTGTAATTCCGGCTACCTGGAAGGCTGAGGCGGAAGGATTGCCAGAGCCCAGCAGGTCGAGGCTGCGGTGGCCGGGAGCGGCCACTGCACTCCAGTCTGGGTGACAGAGTGAGACTCCAACTCAAAAAAAAAAAAAAAAAAGCTTCGCCTCTGTAGCCATTTCTTCCTTTACAGGGACAGCCACCCTCACTTTACTGATGAGGAAGCTGAGGCTCACAGTGGTGAAACAAATTGCTTAAAGACACAGGCAATGAATATATCATGGACCAACTGATGGCCTCAGAGAGGATCCCAAGCAGGCCTCTTATTTCGCCAGTTTGGTAACCAAGATCCACAGAAAAGGATTGTGACTATGGCGTTAGGCAGGGATAGGTCTGGAGTGAGACCCCGGCTCTCCTGATGCCAGATCCTGCTCTGTGCTGACACTTCTTCCTCTCCCTCGTGGTGACGGAAGTCAGGCTGAGCTGAGCATGGGAGGGTGAAGTATGGAGTTGCGCAACCCGGATTTTAGAACCAGAAGCGGTCAGACGGAGCTCCAACATGCCTCTCCGTTCCCCAGCAGGCCTCGAGTTTCCAAAAGTAGGTTTTCCACTTTACAATGGGGGTGAGGCAAATGGGGAATTCTAGTGACATAGCCAAGCCCTCCTTCAGTGGTGAGGCCTGTGGGGCAGATGGGCCTGGAGTCGAGCCCATCCACCGCTAGAAGCAGACAAGTCACTTGACCTACCTAAGCCTGCGTGCGGGTCTCAGCGCACTGTCCGCAATCTAGGAAGGGCTTGATGATGGTATCAGCTCTCTCTTATCAACACAGGCCAGATTCCATTTCGTAGAGGAGTAGCTGGCCATGGTGACTCACGCCTATCGTCTTAGCACATTGGGAGACTGAGGCAGGAAGATCACTTGAACCCACAGTCCCAGGCTGCAATGAGCTGTGATCACACCAGTGCTCAACAGCCTGGGGGACAGAGTA